GCCAGAAGTAGATGATGTGCCTGTCCAACCCCTCCGTCTTGTAAGTGCACTGCACCAGGTAGCTGCGGTCCATGACGAAGTGACCGACTAGCGGCTCCGTGACAGCGACTAGCGAGAAGTTGTCGATGCTCCATGCCTTGAGCGAGCTCAGTCCCCCCTCCTGCACATACGCCGCTGACTTGTTGTGCTGCCGGATCGCCTGCCCCGTCTCGAGCCACGAGCGGATAGTGACGCTGTGCATCTTCCTGACCGAGGTCTCACGGACCTTGATGGGTTCGTAGCTGATGTTGGACCGCACGGGAGCAGCGCGAACAATCCAATGGACGTCTTGGAAGTAGGAGAGAAAGAGAACGTCATCGGTATCATACGGTACAAGCACCACTGACGCGTTCTCCCTCTCCGAAGCAATCTTCTTTGCAACCTCGAAACCTGCACACCCGTCAGGTCCTGCCCCTCGAAGATTGTCGGCTCCCACTCATCACTCGCGCATCTAACGTGGCGTTCTTTCCTTTCCAGACGTAAACAACAAGCCCGCAGTCCAGGATGAGGCAGGTGGCCGGATCGCAGAGCTCTCTCTTGAGCTGTCCTCCCTTCTGAACCTCCGTGACCTGAAGAGAGATAATTTATGATGCAAAGGAGCACTTCCGAATGCCTTCACCTCCATCTCATCCTGCAGGTCATCCATGCGGTACAGAGTCGTCTCGAAGTTTTCAAAGTTGAAGGTTGAGGAGAGGGGGGAAGCATCCAGCAGCTCCCAGAAGTGAGAGCTGCGAGGATCGTTGTCGTTGACGACGACAAGTCTATCAGAAACATCAAAATATGAAACAGTCAGCCGGATAAGCTCACTCGCACGATTGACTTCCAACATGCTCTCTCATGCGCATGCAGGAGGCGAACTGGAAAGTCTTGGCGATAACCCGCTTAGGAGCGTCTGGTCCAACAAGCACGTACAAAGCCTGCACATGAGTCATCTTCGTTTTCGGCTTGATCAACGCACACACCGTCTCAGTGTCCATGACGTAGCAATTTCGCTTCTTGATGACATGACGGTTTGCTGGGACTAGCAGGGCCACAGCTATCAAACGGCCCTGCACCACTGATCTCTGGTCAGAAGCGAAGCAAACATGAGCTCTCATCGAACCTTGAGCTGAGATGCTGATCAGGCGCTTCTTTCTCTCTGTCTTTGTCACACGTCGGAAGCCATGATCACATCCTCCCTTGACAATTTTGGGTTTCGGGAACAGAGTAGTGAAGATTTCACTCTCTTCCCCTTGAAGTTCTCGGATGGGACGTGCATGTCGCTTCAGCACCTGCATGCAGAAGAGGAGGAGGATCAGTGAGACAATCCCAGCCCATCTCTTCCTCCACCTTGCAGAGATCCACCGCGAGGGTCGCAGCCACACCCGCCTTGAGGGGATGTGCCTCAGCTCCGATCCAGAAGTGCATCGTCCACAAGGTCTTCACACGAGATCGTCTGGCATGATAGGCCTGACCCATCACGTCAAACACGCAGCAGTCGGCGAGCTGTGCGGCAAACCTCTTCGACGTGAGCGATGGCTCCCTGCTGATCGTCGACTCGATTCAAGATGAGGTAAACATCCCCATCGTTGAAGGTTCCGAACTCTTGTTTCGGTATCATGACAAGATTGAATTGCTCAACTCTCCATATGTCGAGCCCATGCCCTGTAAGGCTGTGAGAGGAGGCTGACAGACAGAGACGACCAGTGGCATTCACTTACCCAGTTCCTCTATCCGATGCTGGTCAAGAGCAGAATCATGGGAGCTACACCACAACATCAAGGCTTCCCAAACTTCTTCAGCTTCCATGTCCTGCTCGGGACGGAGAGCTCCTTTCTGATAGATTTGCGCCATCGCCTCCGCCCGTGAAATCTCACTTTCGAGATCTCCTTCACCGACGGCCTGATGTTTCTGAATGATCGTCTTTCTTCCTGCCTCACTCTGGATCTGGATGAGGCTGTTTTCGAGCTTTGAGATGAATTCTGGCTCTTGCGTCTCCAGCACTTGCCGGCTGACAACAGAGCCATCGAGAATGCTCAGCTCAGTATTCTGAAACTTGTAGTTTCCTGCAAAGCTCATTCGGGGGCTTGGCAACCAACTCGATCGATCTAGGATCTGCAGTGACCTGTTTTCAGGGCTTGCGTTAAAGTTCATTGAAGGGATGTTTCTTGGAGTCGCTGTGGGGTTATGGAAGCTATCAAGGCGATTCATAATCATGGAATCTCCGTTAACTCGAGGTGTCATCGCTGGTGATGGTAAAATGGGTGCCGCGTTCAGAGTGTTCAAAACGCCTTGTTGGTCGAATCTCCCGCTTCTTCTCGGGGTGTAAATCGGCTCCTTCATGCTTGTAGGATTCATTTTGATCTGTACCTGTCGGCAAGATTCACACTATGCTTGGCAACAATTCTCCTTCAGATCAAGTTATGGTACCCCTTCTGCGGACCCACATACATCCTTTAGATCAAGTACCCCTTCTGCGGACCCACATACATCATCCATAACCGATCTATCTCGCTGTCTACATTCCTCTTGACTTGTCTGCCCATATCTCTGTTCGACCTCTTCCCTTCTTCCGCCCTTCTTGTCGCTACCCTCTCACTCGGCCTGTCCTTGTCCCTCGCACTCGGCTTTTCTATGCCGTACACCATTTGAATTCGTATTCTCGGTCGGGACACATCACCCCTCCTTTTCCCTAACTTGTTTTTCCAGTACATGGGTGGGTAATCATGGAGAGTCGGCATGGAAAATGGAGAGGAGGCAGGGTGGAGAATGGAGGGAGGAAGGAGGAGGGAGGAAGGCAAGCAGCTACAGAGAGCTGGCAAGAAATGAAACAGTTAGGCTTCCTTGACACATGCCGATAAGATGAGACAAAGCGCGCGCCCTCGCCGCAACTTGCTTCTTGCATGGATTTTGTGGGCTCTACAAAGCGATGCCTTATGCATAGTCTGCTGTCTTGTGCCTTCTCAAGTCAATCTTATCTTGAGAGGGGGCTATCAAACATCAAACGGATATTTTGGGGGGGAGGATGAAAGGGCTCTGCCGAAGCATATCGAGCAAATTCTTGCGTATGGAGACGAAGATCGATACCCGCCGATCATCGACGAGGACGGAGATGCATATGAGGGTGGGGTCATGTACCAGACCCCGACACGAATTCTGGATTACGATAGCTGGATTCAAGAAGTCAGTCCTCGGATTGCATTGAAGCGATTGCTGCAAGCAGCAAGAATAGGTGAGGATGACGAGATACGGCTGATGGTTGCATACCTGAAAGCAGACGTTAATGGCTGCGATCCTCACCTCCAGTTCACGGTTCCCCATGCTTCTTCGACGTCTTGCTCTCACTGAGACCATGACAGGCATTGCACTGGGCAGCTTTGAACGGCCATGCTAGCACGGTCTCTCTGCTCCTGACTATGGAGGCAGATGTGAACAGTCGTGACATTCTTGGCTCCACGCCATTGCATTATGCTGCAGAGACTGGGAGATCGAACGTTGTGGGTTTGCTCTTGAGAGGAGGTGCTAGACCTTTCTTGATTAACGACTTCGGACGGACAGCTCTCGATTGGGCTGAAGAATTCATTAAGACAGGAAGGCAAGACCATCACGACGATAAGCAATTGGAAGTAACCAAGGACAAACTTGATTGCATCATAATGCTGAGAAAAGCGATGGGTTACATGCGACCTTTAAACCTTGAAGACCTTTACAGGCAACAAATCAAAAGAAATGCACATTCTATCTCGAAATCAAGAAGATCCTGGCATGAAAACTCATTGCTCGATTGACAAAAAGGTTTTATTAAAATTGACGGTATTCAAGATTACATGTTTCGAGTGATCACTTGTATTTTTCAATTCAGAAGTTTTCCCAGCAAAGCATCAGTTAGCATAAGGATGCTATTTTTTTCTGTATCATGATTTTCCCTTTGTTCTGTAGCGTCACTGTGTAATTGAGCATTGAGGGCCAGGTAATCAGGTATCCCGTCCTGCTTGAAGGCAAGATCAGGATTCTTGTTTTCTGATGTTTGAGCGTGTCCTCCAGAATACGAAGTAAACGGTAAAAGGTCTATACTATCTGTACTTGGACACGGTGGCGGAGTAAGCCTGAGCTTACCCTTTTGGATTTCACGCACCATCTCTGTTCCATCTGGAGAATTTTCTCTTTCATCCATCATCCAGTACCCGACTGCTCCATCTGAACGCTTGTTTGTATCTTCATTGTTGTCGTTGTGAGCTGATGTTTGCAGAGATTCGTTGACGGAACCTCGATCATCATAGACACCGTTTTCTCCGCTGGAAGGGAATGGACTTGCAGCATCCATGACTTGATCCTCATTGCAATATGGAGAATACGGGCCATCATCATTCATGGCATGTTGATCGTCAGTCTTCAAGACTTGTCTTCCATCATGGAGTCTCTGGTTTTCCAGTGGAAGGTGAGCTTCGGATGCCTCGAGGATGTCATCTGTTTCGGAGAATACATCATCATCCTCCTGCGAATGTGAAGAGTTGGCACTTGTGAGCTCAAACAGTTCACTCTGATTTGATGGTTGGTCCTGAGAACCTAGCTGAGAGGCCATCGGTTGTGAAGCCATCGGTTGAGAAGCCATCGGTTGAGAAGCCATCGGTTGTGAAGCCATCGGTTGAGAAGCCTTCGGTTGTGAAGCCATCGGTTGAGAAGCCATCGGTTGAGAAGCCATCGGTTGAGAAGCCATCGGTTGAGAAGCCATCGGTTGAGAAGCCATCGGTTGTGAAGCCATCGGTTGAGAAGCCATCGGTTGAGAAGCCATCGGTTGAGAAGCCATCGGTTGAGAAGCCATCGGTTGTGAAGCCATCGGTTGAGAAGCCATCGGTTGTGAAGCCATCGGTTGAGAAGCCATCGGTTGAGAAGCCATCGGTTGTGAAGCCATCGGTTGAGAAGCCATCGGTTGTGAAGCCATCGGTTGTGAAGCCATCGGTTGAGAAGCCATCGGTTGTGAAGCCATCGGTTGTGAAGCCATCGGTTGTGAAGCCATCGGTTGTGAAGCCATCGGTTGAGAAGCCATCGGTTGAGAAGCCATCGGTTGAGAAGCCATCGGTTGAGAAGCCATCGGTTGAGAAGCCATCGGTTGAGAAGCCATCGGTTGAGAAGCCATCGGTTGTGAAGCCATCGGTTGTGAAGGCGTCATCCTTTCTGAAGCTTCTGAGTGCCATTGCTGCTCGTGACCTGCAATTTCTTTATAGATCTCCCATCCGAATGAATCTGACACTTCATCATGATTGGGCCCTAAGTCCTCCAATCCCTCGTTGTTCGAGCGCATTTCGCTGCCATCGTCTTTGAACCTTGAGAAGGACTCGACTTGTATCACTTCACTCCGCGCTTGACGATCCTTCGATTCAGCAGACCTTGATCCTCTCATTGGATCATTCGAGCTTTGCCGCTGCACGTTTCCAGGTGGTCTCTCTTTAGCTAGTTGAGCTGCGTTCTGCTTGGCTAGTCGTGCAGCTCTCTGTCGGAAGAGAAGATCGTCAAGGTCCAAGAAGAAGTGAAAGTCTTCATCGACTTCAAAGGTTCCTGTCCCCATGTACACCTCGCTGCCTGGAAGGTTATCAAACAGCTCAGGCCAATCCCGTCCCCACTTCTGCGCTTGAGCATTTGACATGATTCTTTCTACTTCTTGAGAACTGGAGCCGAAGCCCGAACTCAGAGGTTTTACATCAGGAGTAGAGTTCACGCGTCCTCTCATCCCAGCCTGCAGTACCGCCCCGGACATTCTTTGTACTGCTGGCATGGAAGCACTCGGGACTATTGTGGCTGATTGCAATCCCAAAGGTAGGGGACCTCGAGCGGCAGCTGAATGAGCATGAAACAGCTGCTGCTGCTGCTGCTGCTGCTGCTGCTGCTGCTGCTGCTGATAGATACGATGGTGAAGGTGGTGATGCTCCCTCCTTGTCTCTCGCATCATGTTCTGCTTTCCTCCGCCACTCGCATGCCAACGATCCTGCATGCCCAAAAAATGTAACGGACCTACCCTACCCCCATCTGCAATCTACCCCTATCCCTTGCTCGCAGCACATCGGATATGTTCGACACGAGGGGAGATGACCCCATCTTCTGACCTGATTCCACCCCTTAGCATTCAGGTCGAGACCCCTCCTATGAGGACCGGCTCACGTGGACCCCCAGGTCCGACCCTTCTAGATGGGGGAGGCCGGGGGGATCACATCGGCTGCAAATACTCCGACCCGGTACGGTGACCCGCCTCCGAGCATCGATCCCGAGACACATCGGGAGCGACATGCTCGTAGTGCTGTATCCCCTTGGCTCCGTATGGCCCATTAGTGAGAGTAAACGCCGTTGATGTAGATGCCTCATGAAATCTGATTTCATCTGTTCTCATAGAATTATGCAAATGGAATGGCCTTAAAATACAAGAATCAGAAACGAATGAGAGCTGTCCTTGTAAAGAGATGTTGAAAAGCAATCATTCATTGCTCAGCAAGATGTTGACTTAGAGCCATTTCATACGAACATTTTGATGCACTTGATGCAGACAATGGGACGACATAGACAATCATAATGAAATGCTATCTCTTGAACGCTTATATTGTAGACACGCTCTGTTTTGTGCAGTCCACAAAATACTCAAACATGTTCGTCCTTTCGATCTTCGTTGCCAGATTTGTGTTCGAATAAAATGATAGTTTTGATTTGTTCCGAGAAACATTTTGATCCGCGATCTGAGTGACACTAAAGACTGTCACAAATTTGCTGCTGGAGACAATTGTATGTGGAATTAAGTTCGGAATTCTGCCCCAGACCTGCTTGAGATGTCTCCCTTCTATGATGAGGCGTGCTAGTCATACGACAATGGAAAGGAATAGCTGACTCTCTTCCAAGAATGACTGCAATCTGACTTTCACAGCAACGCGGGTAGCATGCGTCCTTCTCGCTGCCGCCAATCCTCGCAAGTTCCTGGTTGCCTCCACAAAGATTTCGAGTCGTGGAAAAAAAAAAAGACTGGCGGTGACTCTAAATTCGGAAATGAGGGGATGGCGCGGTGGAGCAGCTGCCGCGAGCAGCTTTGCGTTGATGGTGACGATGCTTATGTTGACAGCATGGCAGAGAGACAGTCACAATCACACGAAGCTTCTGATGAACATGGCTGGAAGTGGACGACATCATGTGAATGCTGAGTTAAGACAGGCTTGTGCTCAATGCATGGGCGACATATTGCAGACGAACAAGCCTTGGAAGGATGCAGAGATTGATGCTACAGGAGCTCTTGAATGCATCCGAGGAGCTTGCAAGAGTGCAACAGAGCGGGCCACTCTCAATTCTTGTTTCCTCTCGCACCCCAGCTGGGGTGACACAAACGATGCTAGTATGAGCCTCCTTGCCCAAAAAAACTTTGGAAAGAAGTCCTCTACGTCGAGCTCGAAATCCGATGCTAAGAGTCACATCATGGTTCCCCGAAGTTTATTTTCTCAGCAAGAAGCCCTCGATCGTCAACAACTGCTACTCAATTGGAAACGAGCCAAGGTGTTTGCAAGTCTGGTCGGCAGCCCTTGGCAAGGTAAAGGAGTTAAGCTATTCACTGAGTGGGTCCCACCGCTGGATCCGCAAGGTCGACCTGTTCCATCTTGGCTTAGGTTCGTGCCCTCTTCAAAGCTTTCGCAGTCCAAGACGAGCACGATGGAGATGGAACATGGGAACGGCACCGTGGCTCGGAACTGCGCATCCTTGTCAGAATGCTCTGCTTGCGTGAATGGTGGTTGCCTCTGGTGCGGTAGCGATGCTCAAATATGTAGCACAGAGTGCCCTGCAATTCAAGGTCAGCTTGTCCATGAAGCTGTTGAAACTTGCCCTGCATCCCTTGCTGGCGTCAAGTCGGATACAAGTCCTTGGGGTATCGCCGTTGAAAAGCAAGAGGAGAATCTGAAGCGACTACATGAAATGGTAGAGCTGGCCCGAAAGACGTCAGGATATCCTCTACTTGATGCTCTCAAGCATTTACGAGCCAAGAAAACGAAGGAAGAAATCCTTCTTGATTCCAAGTTGAACGCAAACTCATTGACCAGAACCCTTGCGAAGTTGAACCTTGAGCAGGAGAAGATTAACCTGAAACGACAGATGCTCTATTTCAGAACAGAGGTGGGAATTTCTACAGGGCGTGAAGGATCTGTTTATGACATGACCGTTGGTGGTGGTGGAACTTTCGATCCTTTCGTCAAGTCAACCACCACATGGTCATTGCTGGGTCGACCAACTCCTGGGTGGCTGCACTGGGGAGGAGATGATGACGGGGGGTATTTGAACCCAGTCGGTGGGAGTGGTTGGGACCCTTCCGTCGTTAATCCTGCGGAAAACGGGCAGTATGGTCCTGCCACAAACGCCTACCGAAAGAAGCACCCTCATCCGGAATCAGAGGCCCCCCTCGCCAGCACCATGGCGGGTTCTCCTCTGTTTGGGGCCTAGACCCCTTGTTTTGCACATGTGTGACTGTAATTTTTTAAGTTTCTTGTTTCCTCCCATTTATTGAAGATTTCAAAAGCCATTTTATGTGAGTTTGTCTTTCTTGTAAGAACAATCGTGGAAAGCATTTACACAGTCGTGAAGTATTCAAAATCGCCTATTCATTTCGTAGACGGATGATCGTATCAGTAACCAAGATCGACTATTAATGGAAGAAACCAACGCATGTACTAAGTCATCAAGCTCACATAAGATGATGAGGAACGAAAAATTCTCAAAGGAGTTTATAGTAAATTGTTTGTTCGTAAATATTTCAATCCCATGAAAACGGTTTGTGATGAAGGCAAATGCATTTCTCCACTGAAAGCAAGATCTTCTAGCTGCTCTAAAGTGACATTCTCCTGTTCATGAAGTCAGAATAACGAAACACGCAAAATTCTACACTTGCCCTGTGCATGTATTCCTCCTCGTCTTTCTCGAGTGGATCTGTAAGAGTTCATCAAGCGCTATCAAGCCAGCATTGTCTCCATACTTTCATCCTCTTCTGGATCGATCACAAGGAAAGGTGTGAATCTAGTCGCTGCCCACTTCGCCTCAATGACCTTCACGCAACTTGATCAGGCAGATAAGATTCACGAACAAGACAATGAAAGATATTGTAAGAAAGATGAAATGAAAGCAGACGGGAAAGAGGATGGTCGATGAAAGATGAATTCTTACTCCCGGATGTCCATCGGGAATAAGTTTGATCCATTTCCCTCCCTTCAGCGCACACTCCTCCGACAACTCACATCTGGAAAGGTCAATCAACAATATTGCTCCGAGGATCTCATGACATATAACTCACTCTGCTGCGTGCAAGATGCTGTTATGTTTTGATGGTTCATATCTACCACATGCGATCGCCGATCCTATTCTGTTGACGCCCTGAAAGTACCTGATGCGCTATCAACACTCCCAACACAGATACACGTCAACTTACTCCTTGATCACAGCAAACTGTTTTGTTGACGTGAAGAAAGCGAGAGCAGTCACGAAATGGTTGCCTTATGTCAATCAGTCAATGAATCCATTGGCAAGTAATTCACAAGTTCATGTCTCACTTGGGCAGGTAAGAACGTCGAACTTTACTTCTTTACCATTCGGATACTTGACAACTCTATCGATGATGGTCAGATACCTGTGTAACAAGCTTGTAAGTCTCTTCTCGTCCCCTCCTGTCTCACCTGTGGAAGATCTGTTCCTCTTTCAACACCTCGAACCCTTCCTGCTGCATGGCGCGCCTGACGGTTCCGTAGTCGAGGCTCAACTAAGCGCAAGGGCAGAGAAATACTTTTGGTGCTGCCTCTCTCTTCCTACTAAGTAGTTAAGACGAGGCGGGTTAGGTTTCCTCTTGCTGAAAACTCGGATCCCATGGCGAGAGCTGCGGTGGCTTATGCCATGATAATGGCAGCAATGGTGGGGAGGAGGGCGGCAGCTTTTCCTCTGCCTGGCTTCAACCATGCCGTCCGAAACTTTCCCTGCCACAAGGCCTCGTCCGGTGCTTTTGATCAGGTTGGCAAGCCTAGGACGCGAACTTCTCGCCAGTGCAGCCTCCGAGGTTGCAGGGCGATGGCGGGATCTGCTCAGGTAAAGTTCGGACCGCTGGAGACAAAGGAGCAGACGAACGTGTTGGTGCTGATAGGAAACATCGGCGATTTCAAGGACGGGGGCCTTCGGAAGCATATCCCTCCAAGCCTGGACCAGACGGTAGTTGATGCAATGATGAAGGAGCTCAGCGAGGGCGGGCCGGGTTCATCATCATCGACCTGGGCGAAAGAGAAGGAGAGTGTTGTGAGAGTCGTCATGGGCCTCTTGGCTGACAAGGTCTCCCGCCACAACAGCCTCGCACAAGTCCACACCCTCGCATCGCTCCTCCAGACCAATCTCGGTCAGAATGGGAATGCGCGCGTCGTTGTTGCAATAGGCGAGGACGGAGGGTGCGGGCCTGTAGCGTCAGCTCTAGCGAAAGCGCTGCCTAGCTTCTCCATGAAGAGGAGGGACAACGGCGAAGCTGCTCCCAACCAAGGCGATCGGAGCATCGTCGTCAACCTAGTGAAACCCGATGGCTCGCAGATTCAGGACCTCAACCGCTTGCGATCCTGCGACATTGTGCGCGAGGCTGTCTCTCTCTCCATGAGGCTTGTTGATGAGCCCCCGGAGACAATGGTATCTTTCCTCTCTGCTTCCTCTGCATTTCAAACCCCTTGATGTCACAGAACGTGGACACGTTCCTCCAAGAAGCCAAGAAAGTCGCTGACAAGTGCAAGAATGTGAGTCTGTGCACGTGACGATGCAGAGCTCCTCATGCATGACAGGTCAAAATGGACGTCATCCGAGGGCCGGAGCTCCGAGATAGAGGATACGGGGGTATCTGGGGTGCTGCCGTCGCTGCCGTACTGTGAGTCCTTCATGACGAATGGTGGCAGGGGTGGGCAAGGCTGCAGTCAATCAGCCTGCCCTTGCAATTCTTTCATATGATCCTGAAGGAGCGTCGCAAACAGTAAGACGGTGAAGGGGAGACGAAAGCGTGGCTCATCCCTTCCTGTTGCTCGCAGGTATGTCTCGTCGGCAAGGGCGTCATGTATGACACCGGTGGTCTCTCCCTCAAGATATCCGGAAGCATGGTTGCCACAGATAGGAAGAGGAGCTTGCTGATGCGACCGGCAGGTGGGAATGAAAGCAGACATGGCAGGCGCTGCGGGTCTCTTGGGAGCTTTCTATGGTGCGTTGTCATCGCTCTTTGCCTCATCAATAGTGACCGACTGGTTGGCTGGCAGGACTTGTCGAGTCGAAAGTCAACAAGAGAATTCACCTCGTTCTCTGCTTGGCTGAGAATGCTATTGGACCGAATGCCCTTCGCAACGATGACATCCTGCGAATGTGACGGCGCATGAGCTCACTTGCGCTGCTGACCTGCTGCAGGTATTCGGGCCTGTGTGTGGAGATCAACAACACGGATGCCGAAGGTGCTTGAGAGGACGCGACAAGGAATTTTTGTCTTGATGACAGCTTTGTAGGTCGACTTCTTCTTGCAGATGGCGTAGCCCATGCCTGCAAGCACCTTTCTCCCGACATTTTGGTACACGAAAAATGACGTGAAAGCTGAGTTTGTGTGACATGTTTTCAAGATCGACATGGCAACCCTCACTGGAGCACAGCTCATATCGACAGGAAAGAAGCACGCTGCGCTTGTCTGCAACTCAGAGGAGCTAGAGAATCGTTAGTGCCCTCATCCTGCATTTCACTCTGGTCATCTTCCGCGTCAGGAGCAATCATGGCTGGCAAGAAAAGTGGCGATCTATGTCATCCTTTGCCTTTCTGCCCAGAGATTTTTAAGGACGAGTTCAAGTCCAAGGTATCCTTGTGTTTGTGCGATCGCACCCTGTGACAAAACCATCAAAAGGTTGCCGACATGAAGAACAGCGTGAGCGCTCGTCACGTGGATGGGGTGTGATGCGATGACGCAATACCAGGTGAAGGACCGATCCAACGCCCAGAGCTCTTGCGCAGGAATCTTCATCCACCAGCATCTGCCGAAGGATTTCAAGGGCGAATGGCTGCACGTAGACATGGCGGGGCCGGCGTTTGTGGTGAGAGGAGAAGAGAGGGAGAGGGTTTAGGGTTGAGGTGATTGACAACAATCTCAGGATGAACGAGGAACAGGATACGGCGTTGGCCTCGTCATGGCGCTTCTCGACGCTCCTGCCTTTGTCTAGCTTATTTTCTGGCTTTACATTTCTCTCAAATCTCGTCAATCCCGCATTAATTCAGTACAAAGATGTGATTTGCCGCCGCGGGTACTTGTCTGCACGTGATGTCGTTTTGCAACGTTGCGGAGGAGACTGCCGGTGCCTCTGCCCGCGACTTGATATGTAAATTCATCATCTCCCCTATCGCCTTCTTCAGTCCCTCCGCCAGCTCCTGCTTGGAGCGATACCTGTGCACTGTCAGCTGAGATCCAAGAGGAAGAACATGGGCTCACTCAGGGAGGTACAGGCGGTTCAGAGGAGGAAACGATCTTAGCTGTTTCTGTTTCTTGTCGCCTCGCTCAGCTATCCTCCTAATTGAGAAAGGAATCGGCCGATCCGAGTGTTTGATGTCATGCCCGAACAAACACCCGAAACCTCCCCTAGGTGCTGCTGCTGTTCCCGTCGCCAACTGAAGGGTTTCGGCCCTTCTGCGCGGGCTCCAGCTCTCCATAAGCTGCCAGAACCACTTGACGAGGTCGTCACTCCCAGAGAAGCCTCGGTACTCAGTGTGCAGCTTCCAGTCTTGAACCTCTTGGTCGGTCAGTCCTCGAACGTCAGGGCAGGTGTGCGACTTTCCTTTCTGGATCCACTTCTTCCCTGCAGGAGCCGCTTGCGAGTAGGCAGCGGTGTGCAGGAGAGCCTCGTTCTCAGGGGCGAACCTCACTCGCCGTTGCCTTTCAGTCTCCCTCAGCCGCGCTCCTGCATCAAGCTCCAGATGTTGCTGGAGGACTATCTTGGAAACCTCCCTCTCAATCTCTGACTTGTCCAGCGAGATCAGCTGCTGTTCTTGCAGCGATCGTTCCAAAGCTTCTTCTTCCCTCCTAATCTTCTTCCTCAACGATTTTCTCTCTTGAGAATGTCGAAGCTTCAGCGATTCAGCTTCCTCTCCATCAATCTCCTCTGCCTCCTGCTTGTGCTTTTCTCGCAAACTTCGAAACATTCGTTCATGCTTATCACGGAGCGCCAACTTTTGGGATGTGAAATCTCTGTTGGTAGCTTCAGAAGGAGGAGCAGCAAGATGCGTTGGAAGCGTCTTGAGAGCACTCAATGTCATGTTCTTCTGGAACAGTCGCATCCTCGCCTTGGCTTCCAATGATGACTCTCTTCCATTTGCTGTCACAAAGTCTGAGACAGACCGCAAGTCACGTTCAACCAGGTCGTACTTGGGATCATACGCTCCATACAGAAAATCTTGAAAGTTTTCCACCAGGACTTGCAATGTGCAATGGGATTGGTGTCTTCGGAAGTGAATGGTGATCGGAAATTGTAGTTCTTCGATCTCCTGCATAATATTTCGCACAACCTCATCTTTCCTGGACCAAACGTCAAAAGACCAAAGTTTCTCCTTTGTTTGAACATTGAAAAAGAAAGAATGTTGTTGAGTCCTCGATCGTGTTGATGTACCCGGAGAAGATATCACGCATTCTCTCCAAGGACCGAGATGGTTGACCTGATTGGAAGTGTCTGCTGGCAGTTTGCGAGAGGCTCCTTTATTTCTTGATTTCATAGCCCATCGATGCAAATCCATCGTCCTCCCATCCTTTCCCACAATTTTGACTATCTTATCTCCTTTCTGGATCGACCCAGCTTTATCCAAGAGACCACCTTTATGGATCTGTTTCACAATCGGCAGAGAGGTTGATATAGTGTCGTCAAACTGAAGTTTCATCCCAATATCCACTTTTCTAACATTCGAAGCCTTGCCGATGTCAACAAGAGTTTTCTGGTAACAGCTTTTTCGCGTCAAGGTTTCTTTGATTTCATAGAAATCAGGTCGTCTCCATGCTGAGAAGATTTCAGACAGCTGTTTCATTCTCACTCTGCTTCCAATCGAAGGCAATTCAAAGAGTTCTCCATCATGACCTCGGACAAAGATTTTTTTGCTGGCCCATTCTGAAACAAGAGCAGAAGGTTGAAAAATGAAAGTGAAACTTGGAATATTTGGGCGAATCAGACTTTCAGCTCTCTCTGGGTATAAAACCAGGCGATCGCCCTCGTCATCCTCGTACTTGTCATCTGAAAATCGCCTCTGTCGACCAAACGATACGTGAAAGCAGTCTCTGAACAAGAGATGGTCTTGAATTTCATATGCACCAGGGCCCAGAACAGCTGAGGTTGTAGCTGAGAAAGGTTCCTTCCTCGCTGTCATCCGACTGAAGTCAACGAATCCCAAAGTCTTCTCCGCGACCCCACGCGCTCCCTCCCAGTCGACAAGATCCTGTGACGGGTCTGACGACTCAATAATCTCACTCACGCGCCCTGTCAACTTTCCAAACTCCACAATCCCATGCCGGACTCTCAGGTACTCCCACCCCTTGTTCGTATCCAGGATTAGCACGTCCCCCCCTCTGTCTTCCTCCTCCCCACCATCCTCGCTTGTCCGCTTGCTCTTCCCGATGCTGTATGCCCTCCCGCTGTTCTCTACCAGGCTGTAGCTGGCTTGGTACTTGTTGAGCAAGTGACTTCCCTCCCCTCCTTGATCGTTCTCCTTCCTGCTTGACTGCGTCGCCATGCTGAAGCCCCTGATGTCTCGCGGGACCTCGGGATTGTAGTCGAGAGCTTCCGGCGCTCGGTCCCTCCTCGTCGCCTCCTCCCGGCCCATCTGCCTGCCGATGTCCACCATCATCACGACTCTCCGCCTCGTCATCTCATCGGCTGCTGACGTTTCCAGCACTAGCCGATCTCCCTCTCTGTCCTCCTCCACCTCGTCTTCCGGTGCCGGAGGGCTGATGAACGCTGCGGGCACCCTCCTAGCCGTGAGCGTGTCGTCTACATAGTAGTACCCTGGGCCCAGCCTCGCGTCCTCATCCTTGCTTGCGGACGCTCGTGCGGAGGTTCTTGACATGTCGATGGAAGGGGTATACTCAGCTAGCTTCCCCACAACCACGCCACTGTCGTTGGGTCCCAGATAAGAAGACAAGTGCTGCCCTGCGACAGCCTCCGGTCGTCCTTCCTGCTTATCAAAACCTGCAATGTCGTGTCGGACTCTCAGGTACTCCCACCCCTTGTTCGTATCCAGGATTAGCACGTCCCCCCCTCTGTCTTCCTCCTCCCCACCATCCTCGCTTGGTCCGCTTGCTCTTCCCGATGCTGTATGCCCTCCCCGCTGTTCTCTACCAGGCTGTAGCTGGCTTGGGTACTTGTTGAGCAAGTGACTTCCCTCCCCTCCTTGGATCGTTCTCCTTCCTGCTTGACTGCGTCGCCATGCTGAAGCCCCTGATGTCTCGCGGGACCTCGGGATTGTAGTCGAGAGCTTCCGGCGCTCGGTCCCTCCTCGTCGCCTCCTCCCGGCCCATCTGCCTGCCGATGTCCACCATCATCACGACTCTCCGCCTCGTCATCTCATCGGCTGCTGACGTTTCCAGCACTAGCCGATCTCCCTCTCTGTCCTCCTCCACCTCGTCTTCCGGTGCCGGAGGGCTGATGAACGCTGCGGGCACCCTCCTAGCCGTGAGCGTGTCGTCTACATAGTAGTACCCTGGGCCCAGCCTCGCGTCCTCATCCTTGCTTGCGGACGCTCGTGCGGAGGTTCTTGACATGTCGATGGAAGGGGTATACTCAGCTAGCTTCCCCACGAGCACGCCACTGTCGTTGGGTCCCAGATACGAAGTCTGATGCGAAAGGAAAGAGGGTTTCTTGTGTCTGGAAAAGACTATTCGTGGTTGGGTTTTGACAGTTGTCTTATATGACGTCTCAGGATCGATGTACAGCACGTCCCCGTACAATTCTCTTTGCTGTTCCTTCTCTAACAGACCTCGATGTGCCCTAGCAATGACACATGTTGCCGTTCTCCTTGATACAAATTTGTAGTTTGGCATGTAATCACTAGGACCAATTGTTTTGTAATTTCGACTCTGATTTCGCGATCCCACACCCTTGCAAAAAGAATATGACAACGATCGGCGTTTGGTGCTCAAAATTGAGAGACAGGATGAGTCGAGAGATGAAACTGATGAAGTTGATGCTGCACGCTCAGTTGAAGCAAGAGACAGCACAGAAGGCTCTCGATATGTCACAGAACATCTGATTCGCGGATGCACCAGACTGAAGTTGGGCTGCAAGATCAATTTGTCTCCCCAACTCTCATCTTCGCTAGTCTCGAGCTGACGAGATGAAACAAAGAGTGCGCTGGAACTTCTTCGAAAGAGAAGGTCTGTCTTGACGTCGTAACTTCCCGGTCCAGGAACAATGTCATTTGCATGAGACAGAATGGCTTGACTGAGCTTCCCGTTCGAGGAAAGTGAACTTCTCTGCCACGAACTGCCAGGTATTCGTTCGCTGACAAATTGGAAGAGAGGGTCGTAGCTTCCTGGACCGGGGGTATGCTGCACGGGTCTTTCAGGAAAGTAATCTGGCATCCATTTCAAGCAACCAACACTTTTGCGATCAGAAAAGCTTTTCTCGGAAAGTGCATAACCAGAGCGTTGAGATTTGCAGTATAAGGCTTCGCAATCGTGAGTCTGTATAACACGGGCCGTTGAAGCGATTCTTGGTTGCGGGATGCAAGGTGCATGGGTAGAGACCCATTCGCTTGTTGCAAAGTATTGAGGAGAGTACTTTCCAGGGCCAACTTCGCTTTTTTCCAGGAGCTTCTGGAACTCGTTGAGATGTGCAGCTAGATTCTTTCTTGTGGGCGGGCAAATACGCGCTCCTGGCGTCCTACGCACAACCTTGCTGACATCAGGTTGATAATGTCCAGGACCAACTTCAGCATTCTGCTTCTTGGCCTTGAACCTCTCAGAGGAGCCCCATCTCCCGCCCGCAACCTTCCTACCACTCAACTCGGCTTGCTCGGAGTCACAAAGTTCTTGAGGGTTGGGCATGTGCCTGCGATGTGTCCTTCTGACGGTTGGTGGGGTACGGGGAAGGAGACTGCTAGCGTCTTCCTCCAGCTGCTGAGCTTCGTTCAACGCCCTCCCCATCTGACGCGTCAGAGCCGACAACATCTCCGCTACCTCTACCATGATCACACACGCCTGCACTCAAATCCTGGTCAAACCTGGGTCAAAGGACGGTTCAAAATGTGGTAACCAAATGGGCGAAGGTGGTCAAATCTGTTGCCAATGGCGAGGTAAGCCAGGAACAAACATGAGGTAAGCCAGGAACAAACATGAGGTAAGCCAGGAACAAACATGAGGCAAGCCAGGAACAAACATGAGATAAGCCACGAACAAACATGTTGACGAAAGAACCACGCGTAGAGGAGAGGAGGGGGGAGGGGAGGGGATGAAGAAGAAGGAAGAAAAAGTGATCTAGCTTTGATTTCATTTGAAACTTTAGTTGGAGAAATACTAGGCGAAAGAAAATTGACGAGGAAGGAAGAGAATGGGTAGGACAATGTAAAAATATAGTGTTTTGTGTTTTGTGTTCATCAAATATTGAAGTGCCGAAAAAATTAAGATGAAAAGTCAACCAAAATTTCTGTTCGCACTGGTAGACAGTGAACTCACCATCCTCCTTCTGGTGGCAATTCATAATACGAACGGTACGCAATTGAAAAAGACTCAGCATCGCCACTGCCAGGCATTGCTGCCCAGTCCCAAAATGCTGCCCAAACCGGATCGCTTGTCAACGTTGCCGAGTCACCAACCACAACGAGTTTTCGCTTTGCTCGAGTGAGAGCCACGTTAATCCTTCTGTAATCGGACAGGAAGCCAACCTAAAACTTCATCATGGTGTAGAAGCAAACTAGATGCCGTTCACCTCACAATCAGCGTTGCTTCTTACAGAATCAAACACGATTGCAACTTTCTCTTGTCCTTGAAAACCATCCACGGTGCTCACGTCGATAGATTGCATGCAGGCATCTGATTGCATCCTTTCCCTCAAAAGTGAAGCATGCGCGTTGTATGGAGTTATTACTCCAATGTCATGGGGTGGGATATTCCAGACCTCCACCAATTCTCTTACAATACGGAGAGTCAGTTCAGCCTGCTCTCGATTGAGCGTCGAGAAGTCTCGAACAAGAACTGCTGAAGATGAACGGCTTCCCTCTGTCGGAGCTGCACTTGTGACTGTTTCTTCGTCGAACCCCGCGCCAGCTGTATCAATCGCCTCAAACAGACATGTCTTTCTCAACAATAATGACGTTTCGCTTTCGTCACTGCAGTTCAAATAACTGTAGCCACCGGCGTTCTGACACTCAGGTCTCAGCAACCCTCCGTAAAAAGATGCTGCTGGGAAAGCCATCAACGACGCTGGCATCCTGTATTGCCGGAAAAGCGTCTGACTCCAAAGTTGGCCTCCAAGGTTTCCTTCTGATAAGTTTGCTGAAACAAGATTTTGAGCTCTTGCGACAATCTGATTTGCAAATATTTCAAATCAAAGGGCATCACGAAGATCTTCTTTCTGTTTCACCTCGCTTTGGTCGAGTCGAATAATTGCTTTGTTCCCGCCTAAACCCCCTCCATCTCTTTCCATTAACTCCTGGAACGATGTCAGATCTAAGTAAATGTGGTAAAGACGTCAGCCTCAAAGATGGTGCTTTGAAGTACAGTTCTTGCGCCCCTATCTTCAGCGAGGACTGTAGGGGGAAGTTGACGATGATCTCCTGCCAAAATCATCCGGGGTAAATGGGAGTAAACGGACTGTTTTGTCTGATTTTTGACGTAAGGCAGAGTCTGTAAAATTGCTGCTGTCAACGCCTGCTTGCATTCATTAAAATGTGATAGTTGGAGCTGAGACAGCAACCTGGCTGGCTTCATCAACAATGACTGCGTCGAACAAAACCAATTCATCGTCTCTTGCCTTCGCATTGTTTTAGGCAAATCGAAAGCGGTCACATCTCCTAGACCTCTTGCAGGGCTGACACAAAGCCGGTAAGCGTACCACACAAAATTCTCACTTTCCGCAAGGTCGCACTGACTGCCTTCGGTAAACAAGACATTAACAATCATAGAGAGAGGATGCGCTGAACCTCTTTTTGCAGTTGCCTCGCATCTCTGAACAACTCACGGCTCTCCTTCCTCGCCTCTCTGCGAATTGCAGCACCGTTCGTGCTTCTCCTCCATTTTTCAGAAACGCGTAGCTCTTCATTTGCTTGTTGAAATAACGATTTCGATAGAGCTGCGCTGGGTTCCTTTTTCTGCAATGCAGCCAGAGTTACACCTGAAAGTTGTTCATCGACTCTTTCAGGTAGCCCAGCCCTTGCTAGTTGAAGGTTTGGCTAGTTCAGGTCTGTCAATGTATGAAACTTCAATATAAGAAGAAATCACATCAGCTCGGAGCAGTCCAATAGCGAGATTGTCCACAGCCGCATTTGATGCGGCGCAAACAAGGATCCGCTGATCTAGTTTAATCCTCTGTCGGATAATCTGCCAACCATGATTAAATCACTCCATGTACCTTGTTTAGTATACCTCAACTAAAGTTTTTGTTTTCCCAGTTCCAAAAGGGCCATGAATCAATTGAATAGGGAGTACAGAAGTTTTTTGAGGTGAACAACACTTTTCTACAGCATCCCTCTGTTCTTGATTCAACATAGAATCAAAGAACTCAAGCTTGAATTGTTGTGATGTATTCAGTGCTTCTTTCTGCTCAAGATTCAGCCTCACAAATGTCTCAGACATCAAAAGGACCATATCATCCAGATCATTCTCAAACATCATGTCAAGAATCTGTTTCGAGTCTCCACCAAGGTTTCGGCACTTCCTGGTGCCTTGGAGCAGTCTGTCATAAGTGACAGAATCAGGAGAAGCCAGCAAGCTGATTGACTCTGTGTTCTCTATATTTTCGACTTGATCTGGGTGAACTTCAAAGATTACATCCAACGACCCTCTCCGAGTGCTGATGATGAAACCAAATGATCCTGATGCTTGACTCGCTTGCCACTGCCCGGATTTCGAGCGTTGTGCGAGGACAACTGGACTTCCAGTCTTCACATTGAATCGCGTCATGTGTCCTTTCCTTGAAGCATCCTCAGCCAACGTCCATTTGAAGCGGCCAAAGTCCGTCACGTCAACGTTTTGTATCCTTGCGTTCAGCAGCAGCATACCAGCAGCCTCCATCTCGTTCGGTTCTGAGAATGCCATCGCTTCTTCCCATTGCTTCCTCGCCGCTGTTTTTTCAATGCGAAGTGCATTCTCAATATCTTCTAATCTATCTGCGGTCTGTATTTTCCAAACAGATAGCCTCCTTTCCTCATTCTGTCCAAAGCTTTCGTGACCCAATCCAAGCCTTTCGCAGGCTTCATGTAGGAGGGCCCTGTCTTTAGAAGATAGCTGAGCATCGAAGATAAGTTTGCTTTCATCTTCTTGATGGATACCATTTCGAAAGTCCCGAAGGAGGTTGACTAGATCGGTCGTATTTTCTCTGTCATCTGCAAGCTTCATTGAGGACAAACGAAGAGAATTTCTCATTCCATCAAAGCAGCTTAACTTTCGAATAGACGGGGTATGACTAGGTAAGTGCAAGGATCGTGAGGCAGGGTGAAGAGAAGAGAAAGAGAAAGAGAAGCTGCCATGCAAGCTTGAAACCATCAACAGCACCACGGCGTTGACGACATGAGGTACAGCATCGTGCGCCATGGCAAGGATCCGACCAGGCAGCCTGCTTGGCGGATCATCCAACTTCAAGTTAGCTTTACTCAAACTTCGCCGGTTAAGTTAAAAATCGGTCCCGACTCTAGTGAGGGTCCAAAGCAAATGGGAATACAGGCAACCTTCACTTCAAACAAGCCTTCTCGTCAAGCCTAAGTTTGCTGTTTGCCAGCAGGGGGGAAGTGCGTCTTGGGTGCCATGTCGCTCGTATCGCCTCTTGGATTCCTTTGCTTGAGCTCAATCATCATTTCGAGCTCAGAGGTAGGCATAATGCTAGATAAAAGCTTTTTGAACTTGTGTTGTTACTGCAGGGATTGTGTTGCTTTCAGTGGACTCGGTTCGATCGCGAGCAGAGTGCTGTTTGTCAGCGCTCTTGTCTTCGGATACGGGGAGGAAATGATGGCGGAGATGAGATGAACGCTTCTGTTCAAGAGGAAGCCCCACACATGTTGAATGTCTGGGACGTAGCCATTGACGCCGCAGATAAGAATGGCAAAAAATTAAGAGACCAATTCACAAAAGCCGTTATGCAGGGGAGCTCCAACATTCTTGAGCTCGAGATTCTGACAAAGCAGGACGAAGGGACCGAGGGAGTGCAATCAAAAATCGAGGGAGAACAACAAGAGAGGAAAAATGAAGAGATCGGAGATGTACAACAAGATATCAAAGTTGTACAAGGAAAGATCGAAGGTGTACAAGGAAAGATCGAAGGTGTACAAGGAAAGATCGAAGGTGTACAAGGAAAAATCGAAGGTGTACAACAAGAGATCACAGATGTGTTGAGAAGGATGCACGATCAAAATGACCCAACGCTGAAGGAGCAGCTTGTAGAGGACAAGAAGCAGCTTGTAGCGTACCAGCAGCAGCTTGTAGAGGACAAGAAGCAGCTTGTAGAGGACAAGAAGCAGCTTGTAGCGTACCAGCAGCAGCTTGTAGCGTACCACCAGCAGCTTATGGACAGGGTGAAGCTGCTTTTAGACAAGGATAAGCAGGTTGAGGGGCTTATTCCACGTCCTGTGCAACTTAGAGACAGTATGTCAAGACCTGAAGGTGAAACAGAATTGAATGTGGCTATCATGGGTACTAACAGGACTTATGCTAGTTGGCATGCTAAGTTTCTTGAAAGAGCTCTGGACTACCGCATGCCTAGGAAAGGTTTTATGGGCTAATGAATACGTCAGCTTCTCCGCATGCTTAGGAGGCCATGAGACACTTGGAAACAAGCTCTTCATACGAGAGTGCTACTTCGAGATGAGACGGAAAATTGCAGAGGATTTCAAATTGGACCCAGAGACGCTAGAGGGCATGGACACCACTCAAGGATGCCATCAAGTGATCCTCACAGGTACTCCAGGGATCGGGAAGTCCTGCTTCGCATACTTCTTACTTCTTCAGCTCCTCCGGCCTGGTGAGGAAGTAGTGTATCAGATAGGGAGTGAATATTGGTACTTTGATGGAGAAGCATGGAACCTCTTCATGGATGGATCCGTAGCGCAACGCTTTCTTCAAACGTTTAGGCGCTGGTATATCTGTGATCTGTACAACAACCAGGGGAGCTATTCAATGTCACGAACCGCAAAAACAATCATAATCTCTTCACCGAAGTATGGGATGTTCAAGGACATTTTGAATACTGGATCGGCGAAGAGATATTTCTTGCCGTTGTGGTCAGACGATGAGATGTCACTCTTCATCATGATGCAATCGGGGCGTATTGACTCCGATGAAGTGATGAAGATCGTAGAGGATTGGGGTAATGTGCCGAGAAATATCGTCGTGAAACCTTTAGAGACACTTGAGCAGGCTATTGCAGGAATAGAATCAGTGTCATCACTCAAGAGGAAGATGGATGCAGCAGTGAATGACGACCTTGGAATGCCATCGAAACTGATTCACCTTTCCCCCAGCACTGACTACAGATCCTTTACCGCTCGAATATGCTCGAAGAAGGCCGAGACGATGATATTTGAGGCCCTTGTGAAAAGGGATTGGGATCATGTTGTCGACTTTGCTTTTTCGAGTCCTAATTCTGGCTATGAGTCAAAAAAGCTACACCTGCTGCTGAGCAGGTGTAGCAAAAGCTACACCTGCTGCTGCCCCGCTGGCAGCCGCTGCCAGCGGGGTTCTCTACATGTTCCATATAACACGAGAGGGGAAATATCCTATCAAAGTGGACTCATTGCTCAGCATCTTGAAAGCTCTGCGAGCCAAGAACAAGTTTGAGAGGGTAAACTTTGTGTTCGTTGTACCTTCAGGGCGTGAGGAAATGCCCTGCTGGGGACGAGATCAAGGCTTGACATCTCAGGGAGTGGAGGCAAACCAGGAGCAGGAGAGTCAAATGAGGGGAGTCACTCAGCATATCATGATGCTTTCGAAGGAGGATGCGATGCGGAGGCCAAAGGGATGGATGAGTTTCGCTCCGCAACATACGTAGTCAATCGTAAGAGCAGCGCCAAGGGAGTAGTTGGAACCTGGGAGGACGCGACAGAAGAAGAGAAGTTTTTGCACGTAGACAGTCGCCTTGCAAGATTGTGCTTCAAAAACTTCAGAATCGTCAGAATTCCTGTTTTGCGCATGTAGGCGATCGTTTCGAAATATACAAAGTTGCCAGTGCCCAGCAATCTTTGCGTATTGAGATGAGGACATTCGTCACGACGTGGCGCCTTCCTCAGTGAAATGACTAGACGCTATCCAATAGACTCTTCCACAGACAAACCGTGCTGGCAATACGCAGAAGGAAGTTTGTTTTGCAATGATGGTGTGAGTTGCTGCTGTGACCTGCTTTCAACTCACGTCACTGATTACTCTATGAGCAGGATGTTCAGTTCAACATTTACATGCGGCGAGATAATATCCGACCTCTTGAACATCTGGTGGATCCACACCATTTCAAACCTCGTACCTCAGTTGCCACTGCTTCAAAGCCCCGCCGTTTCTCTTCGATTTGCATCGATAACAATTCTTTGTCGCCCCATACTTGTCAATGCCCAGAACCTTGTAGTATTCCATGTGCTAATACAGGTTCACTTCGGTACAGGCTGCCTCAAGAGCGAAGTAAGGCAATGGCACCCTCAGACTGTCGTGTATTCGTTTTTCAAAGATAGGAGCCGCCTACGGCGAATAGGGCGCCCACCTCGTGAGCCTTGGAGGATTTGGACAACTCAAGCACCTCGCGTCATTCCTCTGGGTGCTGATATTGACCCACTTGGAGACGCCAGATCATGGAAAGCTTCCCTGAAGCAAACCGGAGCAAACAAGAAGTGGACGAGAATAAAGCCTACAAACCCGCCTCAATAAAAGTGACTAGGAAACGGAGGAGGCAGCGAAAACCGCTACTCCAACCACGCAAGCGACAGCATGCACGACAAGCAGGGGAACAAGGATCAGGACAAAGAGAGTAGCGCTAGCATACACCGCCTCCTCTTTCAAGAAACCGTTTCAGTCTGTGACCGTTGTATCGCTGAACTTGGTCTCACCTAGTAGAGGGTGAGACCACCCCTACCCTATTATTGAAATTCAGAGCCACCCGTACCCATTCCGTCAAATACCCTACCTACCTCCGGTTTACTCTTGTGCGTGTCAAACCATCCACTTGAAAGGTAGCTAGAGGCGCAGTAGTGAGAAAACTGAGAAAGCGACAGACAGACATGAGTTGTCTTCTCTTGCTGAGGCAAAGAGAGGGAGGTTGGAGATCGAATACCAGAACGGAAGGAACCAGAAACAGTTGAAATATTTCCATTACGTTTTCTTCGTGCAGTTTATTTTCACCGGGAAGTATAGAATCACATTCAGAATAGATTGAAAATGCTATGAGTTGATCAAGACCAGAAATACGAAGGTGCATGCTAACTGATTCACCTGTAGGTGTAAATTTTGGGTGTACAAGGAACTGTTGAAGTGAAGTTTCCATGGAGAAGGACAATACCTATCAAGCCTATATTGCTCGATTTAAACGTTAGATTGAAAAAGTGACATTCAGGCCAGAAAAGTTTATTCAATATGGGTATCCTTCAAACATCAAAAAGATCCAACAGCATTGTGCGCGGGAACAGACAATACAATCTCGGAGAGTTGGAGTCGAGCTTGCCAAGGCTGCTGTCACCGCATCTACCTTGGTGCTAATTCTTTTGATCGCCTACTACAACATCATCTTTGTTCGCCTGGCAGAAGCTAAGCTGTTTTATTTTCATACGAGAAGAGGATCCTTTGATCCGTACCAATTTGTCCTGGTCAAGAGGAAGCACATCAGAAAGATACAAATCATTCGCTTCATGATTGAGCTCATCATTTGTTTGCCACATTGTTTGCCGGGATTTACAGTAAATCTGAAAGATTAACCATGCCTTGAGGTCTGTGAGATCATGGCAGATGAGGATCGATGTTGAAATGCTCGGAAGAGTTGCGGTGTATAGATTCGAGTCATTGATTGTCATCTGGATGTTCTTCAGGTACAACGATTTGTTTTGCATTGAGGTAACACAAGGTAGATTCTCACAAACCTTTGCAGGCTCTATCTAGCGTATCTACTTGTTAGACGATGGCTCTTTATGCACTATTTTGAAGAAGCAGCGTTTAACCTAGGAGACGAGGCAACGCTTCAGATGGTGAAGAGCTAATTCATTCTTTTTCCCATGAGAAATGTGCATTGTTGTAGATCTTCAATCCTGCGAACAAGATAGGAGGAAAACTTGCTCTCAAGGTTGCCTTGAAGAGACACCCACTGCGCTTCATCGGAGGAATGGCGCTCGTTTCGATAGTCGTAATGGCTTACTGCACTCGAGTGGCAGAAGGATGTGCCAATCGAATACATTGTGAGATATTTTGCTGTCTGATTTTTTTCCTGATACATTGCAATGCAGCAAACTATTTTTGGAATCAGGTGAATTTGATGATATTGGTTTCCCTTGTAGACACTCATATTTTTGCTGCTTATCATGAAGTTGTGGATGGTGATGGTGAGCTGAATTGATCCGTGCTACGAAATGGACTAAAAATTGGGTTTATAGGTGACCATGTCAACTACTGGATATGGTGACATGTACCCAGTAAGTGAAGGACTGGAGAACCATTCTTTGATTGGAGTACCCTTTCTTTACAACCTCAACAGGTCACCCATGCTGGACGGTTCGTGAGTATCTTTGCGATGTTGGCGGGATTTCTCTTCACTGCCATTTTCACAGCTTCGGCCACTAGGTGTATGACAGAAGAATCTTGCAACAAGTGTTTGATTTGATTTGTAGAGCGTTTGATCTCAATGACAACGAAGCGGAGCTGATGAGAATCATGAGCATCGAGTCCATGCGCTGTCGTCTTGTGGTCGCTAGTGCGAGGTTGATTGGATTGAAACACAGCAGGGCATAACTATAGTACAGAAGGATTCAAGTCTTTGTGCGTATCAAGAGCAAGAGACTGATGGGTGAGGCTGGTGAGATTTGTTCCTCTTGTTTTTGTTGGGGAGTGACTTGTCATCAGCAACAAGACAACTTGCTGAATCGAGAAAGAATATGAAAAATGTGATCACATTCTCATTGTGTTGATTTTCCTTACTGCATGTCAGGCTTTCACGCAATTTCGACGTTTCAAGGGTGACCAGGCCTATTTGTTTTGACATCCTTATGCTTAACCATGTCCAGCGGAACATCCTCATCTCTTCACTGGTGAGAAAGGAAGCACAAAACTCCCAGGTATTATTGCTTGTACAATTAAATTTCTGACATCAATTTCTCTTTGTTCAGATATCACGAAACTGCCGTCAATGAAGAAAGATTCAAGTACTGAGAAACACACATCCGAACCAGAATGCTCTGAAAAAGCCAAGTCAAAATTTGACAAAGCTGATCTTGCAGTATGAACAGTTCGTGCTTTTCACTCCTGCCACTGAAATTCCTCTTTCCTCAGGAAATTCGTAAGATTGTTCAACAAGAAGTCGAAAAGTTGATCAGTAGAAATGATACAGTGGTACATCAAAACGGTACAATCTTTACCACGTTTGGTCGTGCGATGACATGTAATCTTCCAGATCAAGGAAACGTCGAACAACTTGAAACAAACCTTAACATCGATGTGAAATTCCAAAAATGGGAACGACGTTTCACCGAGCTCGAGGCTCAAGTTGGAAACCTTTGCCATCATGTTGAAAACTTGCTGGAATCGTTGACAGCAGTGCAGAGCAATTGTTGCTCATGCCAACCCAGTAGAAATGACAAGTACAACAAGTTTCAGGACAAAAAGGATAAGATTGTCGTCAAAGATAAGATTCATAAGGACGCAAGGACTGTGAGCGAGCAGAATTGCAGGAGATCCATCGACTTAGACAGATCTTATGCCGATCAATCAAACTCGTCACGAGGGGCTCGTAGCAGCTCCAAGGAGATCGAATGGTCGAACTACATGCTTGAAAGGCAACTCAAGGATCAGCGGAGGAGTCAAGATTCCGCAGACATCGGGAAAAGAATGGGAATGGATCTCACCTTCCCCCAACGCCAGCCTTGTCGAGGTTCCAAGAAGTCAACCTCGGACTCACTCTGGGGGAATGACACCTCAGATGCTAACGTCAAGCTCAAGCATGGGCCTAGCATGTCTAGGACAGTCTCTGAATCCAAGGCAACGGGAAAGGACAAGGCGTTTGTCGCCGAGGATGCAGGGCCTGTCAGGAGGCGATCATCTGTTTCGAGCAGAGAGGTACGCTTGGCCCTGGTCTCGCGTGCTACTGACACAGCCCAGGGGTCCTTCAAGTTCCTTCACGAACCTCAAGACATAGGTTTGCGTCTAGACAATCCACAGGTTTCGATCGCTTTCACAGTTGCGGCATCAGACCCGCTAAAGAAACAACAGGACAGAGGTGGTTTGGTCAAGTCCAAGTGTCAAATGGTGAGAGGCTTCAGGAGGAGAGCATAAATGATAAAACTCAGGTGAGTAGGAAGAGCATTGAAACTCTGCAGATTGGGAGCATCATCTCACAAGAAGTGCAGGTCGAATATGTAGTCAGGTTAAGGTGTTCTGACTTGAACTCAGGGGCTCGACACAGTCTCTTTCCCAAAGAGCTTGGCCCAGCAAATTCGTTGACATGAAATTAGGGTTGAACGAGCGACAGAACTTGAGAGGCTCCATTGCTTGCGTACAATAGATTGAGTGGACTTTATTGCGTCTGAACTTCGTCTCCTCTTATTACTGCTGACGGTAGTCACAATAGTTGTGGCTGCGTCCTCCATCACAGTTGTTGACAAAGCCAGTGGGGGGGAAGTAGACGGTCTGTGTGAAAGAGTTACGCAAATTTAGGTAAGAAACGAGAAACGCACGCCGTAGAAGTCATGTCCAGAGCTCTGTCCGTCAAAGTCACCTGCGCCATATGCAATGTAGCCAGAGCCAGAGTCTTCAGAGAGCATGGTTTGAGTAAGCAGGGCGAACATCTGACAAGATAAGACTAAGCATATTGTACATCAGAAAGTCGGCTTCACCACCCCCTTTTCCGTAATTGCCTGCACTGCATTGATCTTCCAAGTTTACGCCTCGCTCCTCTCTCTCATACACCATATTCAATGTTTCTTGTAAATTTTGTTCCCTTCCTCCTCCCACCACAGAACTTTTTAACCGCCCACCCTGCTCCTGCAGTCTACGTCAACTAGCTTCTTCTTGCTCTTCCCCGTACCTCCCCTTAATCACGCATCATCGTTGCATCGCATCATCTTGATGCCCGTGCATCATGGCATTGGCTGTACCACGAAAGCGATCTATTTTGGGAGATGTAGGTCCGGCTCTGCTTATCAAACCAGGTGACTGTAACATCTCTGTACTCAAAGTTAAGTTAAAAATCAGTACGAGGACAAACATCATTTATTTCTACTAGATGTTTTTAGAGCAATTAGCGAAAAAAAAGGCTTGGTACAAATGTTTAGTCAACGCTCCAACGGCAATCTATTTCGGGCAGCACCAAGTTGGTGCACCATAAGGGCCGTTTCACGCCGAGCCCCAAAGGTCTACAGTAGTCTTAAATTTATTTGAAATATACATGTTTATAAAACCGAAATTGTCATGCATTGTCATGGTTCTGCCGCCTACCAAGGCCCTTCGATCCATTGTGTCCCACCTCAAAGGTGGACGATTTTCCAATTGAGATATCAGAAATTTCAGGGTATGTATTGATGTGCCCTTCCCGCCATCGGAAGGCAATAGGTCGGTCCGACGGGTACGAACGTGGTATCACCTGGTAGCATGCAGACAACAGGAAGGGGTGTTCAGGCATGCGCGCAGTGTTGCCAAACGCTTGATCCTGCTTGCATATTAGTAGTACATGTGTGCAAGCACAGGCTGTGTTCGCAATGCTGGTTCCAACTGGGATCTGATGATGAGGAGAACGAAGTTCTCCTTCGTAACTTTTGTGTTGGTCGCCGCCTTGACATCCAACGCCAACATCGGTTCTGCCAGTGGATCCAATCCCCTTTCAACACCACCTGTACCACGTCCCAATAGACACGGTATGCCACTTTGGAGGCTGCATGAATCAACTCGCAAGTTCATGATCAACATGCATCGTTCGCAGAATGCTTTCCAGCTAGATTCTGGAGAGACCTCAAAGAAGCTGGCACTTGAGGCTATCGCCAAACAATTCTATGATGAATGTTGGACAGCACCAATTCGCTTTCGGGATGATACGAATTTGTCTCAGACCATCAAGGTTGATCCAAATTTCCATCCAAAGCAAGTGGACCCGCATATGTAATTACTTTGGAACCCGCTTAGAACCGTTGCGAGTTTTGGGGGGTCTGGAAGGGCGTTCCCTCTGCATCGCAGACAACCTGTGCCATATCGACCCAGGACACGGCTGTCAGCAGTACAGATACGGAACCTTCGTAGGCAACACAAAGCCTTGAAGATAATTCTCAACGTCTTGCGATTCTTAGGTATGCAAGCACTCATTGTACTCGATGCTCCTCTGGAACTCATCTCGATGAAAGTGAGGTTAGATGGACACCTCATGTTGCTACTCGATCGAGTCATGGAATCCAGGATTGTTGACGCTGAAACACCTCTCAGTCAAGCGAGTGGGTCGTCTACTGACCCCCCTAGGCTTGAAGCTATCTCTGATGGTGATTGCAAGCGCCTGTTCCGATTCAACAAAGTGTCCAGGTGATAACACCTCATTGTCCACCTCAGGGTCGTTGGTACCATCTGGCTGTTTGTCCTTGTTCTTCTTGGCTACTACAGTCTGCAAAGCACGATGCACCAACTCAATTGGTTGCTTGGTTTGCTCCCGCACACGTTCTTTCATATGACGATGGGTTTCAATTTTAGTAACAACCTCTTGCCAAGTATGCTCCCACTCGCCATACACTTCATTGGCGTTGCCAGATGCGTTCCCAACACCCCCAGGAGAAGGTTTTTGAGTCGTCTTGAAGTCCTCGACATATTCGACGAATTTGTTCCGCGCAGTGCTGAAGTGCATATTCTCGAACCAAGGGTTGGCAGCAGCGAGTTCCTTGAGCAACAGTGTGGTGGCCACATCCGATGCAGACTCAACATACAGACTGTTGTTTCACAGCAGGATTCCGATGATCACCGCAGGCCGATCGGGTCCCTTGGAAGATGGGCCAACGGGAGAAGGTTGCTGGGATTTCGAATACTCAAAACGACCAAATAGCGAATTAGAGCATCGTCTGAATGTTGCTCCATTCAACCAATCGGATTAAACGTTCTTTTCTTATCAAACAAAAAAAAGTTGTTCTAGTCAACATCTGTGACAGTCAAGCGACTCAAATCTTCTGACTCGCCTTTCTCGTCCTCAGAGATGGCAAACATCATCTACAAAAAAAGAATCAAAAAAAATCAAATCGAAATCATGGAAAGTTAGTTTCACCTCTTCCATTTTTCTTTCCTCAGTTTCAATTCTGGCACCAGCACAAGTTAGTGTTTGCGAAGACTCATCTCGTTCTCTCACGGATCTTCTTCAGCAGGTCCACCATACTGCGTTTCAACACCGTCCTCTGGCTGGATGTCGCTCAAACCCGTGCGATCATGCAGCATGACCGTGAAAGGCTTTTCAACGTCAAGAAGCACGTTAAGCTCTTGGATTGTCGCGCCAATTTTATTGCGATGGTCCTCAGAGAGTTGTGATCCCAGCGTGGACAAGTGCATACTGAGGTTGTAAATTGCAGAAGCAAGGTGATTGTAGATGGAGTCAATCTTTCGCTTGGCGTCGGCTCCAATCTCAAACTCCATCTCAGGGATTTCAAGGACTGCACTTGGAGCTTTGTGACAGATGCGCCAAAGGTCTTGCCTGTTATTGATCTTAAAAGTCTTGATGAACATTTTCCGATCAAGCAAAGCTTGAAATGGTTTCATGCGAAATACTAGCTTTCCTTCTGCAAAAGACCCATCATCCTGAATTTTGGTTTCTAAGTGGGGCATCGATTCCAAAAACGTTCCCCACTGGCATTTCAGGGCGTCCTGCAAGTGCGTGTCAAGACACTGGTTAGGTCAATAATAGCTTCCGCACCTCAAGCTCACCCTGGTCTTCGTAACCCAAGTTGCTGCAGATGATATTTGCTGCTGCGTCTGCCGTCATCCAAGACTCTCCTGCGCTCTGTCGAACTTGTTTGCAAACTTGCTCGAGTTCGTCTATGATCCGATCTGTTTCTTGGTGACCAAGATTGAATTTGAATCCTGGAAGGCTGCCCTGAGTCTGTGGTGCAGGGTCCGAAGGGAGGTTTTCTGCAGGCATCCGGAGAATAATCCTGCTTTGCAAAACCAATCACTATAGTATCAAAGAACATAATCACTGCGTCGTGTGGAAATATCAGAGTGCACTTTATCCATTTTCTCACTATCGTAAAGTCTTGTGTCAACACGTTTTCTTCTGCTACCTCGTCTCCTACTTCATTCCCTCCCCGTTTTGCAGTTCTGTTCTGAGATGCTATCTCGCTTCACGTGCCATGACATGGAAGTTCTCGTATTACTACCACCCCACCCTTCGTCGCCAGCAAAACATGACAGTACCCCCTAGGTATTGGTTTATTGAGAAGTTTTCATTATTTGAATTTATTTGAAATATTTGTTTTCAAGTTTGGAAATTTGACGCAAAAAGTTTACCAAACAAACCAGTTCAGGACCCCACCCACCCTCCCTCCCTACCCTCAAACACTTACACACCCGCCTCAGAGGTCCAAGACTCAATAAAACACTACTGAGGCGAGTTCGCTACGCCAATTAGAGGTCAATTCTGAATTCCATAACTTTACCCGGCGCAATGCCGGGGCAACCGCCGGCGCCGGCAAAGTGTTTTGAATAATTCTAAACGATCCACCCCAACCCGGGTATGGTACCAAAAACATCCCCCCCCCCCCCCCAGGGATCGAAAAAAAGTGTTGTGAGATGATGCGAGGGAGGGTGGGTAGTGTACGGTGGGTAGCTGCGGGATAACGGCTAGTGAAAAGTATATGGTGAAGTTATTTGAAATTTCTTTTTTATTTTTAAAAATCATTGAAGTCCTATGTTGCCAATATCCCTGAAGTTGAACCATCCTGCGAAAGAAAGCGGCCTTCTCTCTCTCTCTGGCACTGTGTTCGTTGATCATATCCCTCTCTCTGGCTCTCTCTCTGGCTCTCTCTCTGGCTCTCTGTTCGTTGATCCTAGCTTCCTCCTCTCTGGCTATATCTCTGGCTGTCTGTTCGTTGATCATGGCTTCCCACAATCTGGCCAAATCTCTGACTATCCGTTCATTGTTGAAAAAGCCCTTTGGACAGATTGCGCAAAGCAAAGGATCAGTCAAGTCCCTTTACTCAAAGTTACAATCAGGAGAGTCGAGAAGGCTTGACCAATGTAGAATGCCGCACACCCAGTGTCAAACAACCGAGCATGTGTCCGGGCAATGCAAGCCCTTTGGACAGATTGCGCAAAGCAAAGGATCTCTTCTGTAGTAGCCTTGTATGCAGCTGCAATTAAACAAATTTGCCGATCCTGCGGGTGAGGAGGAGTATTCTGGGCAGGCGGTTTCAAGGCCAGAAGCGCAGTAGCTATTGGAATCACAAGGCAAGCATTTATCAAACGAGGATCCGGGAAGTTTAGAGATCGTGCCGTCAGGGCATTTTGTGCAATAAGCGCTTCCTGTAATGGTTCCTGTCTTTTGTGTATAGTATGCTTCCCAGCCTGCAGCGCACCGTTGGCAAGACGACGAAGATGCAAAATATGCAAAGTATGTTGAGCAGTTGCAATCGGTAGTGAAATTCCCGGTGAGGGGATGGCTACTGGGCAGCCTGGAACAGTTGACGCACACGGACGAGCATTTGGTGCATGAAACGGAACCGGGTGCGGCGAAGGAATCGGATGGGCAGTCGGTGCAAGTGTTTTCGACCGCGCTGACAGGGGTGCCGTATGTCGTCACTGGGCATGATACACATCCCTTGTCTGAGACTTGATCTGAATTAGCGACATTGATAGAGTGGTAGCCCAGTGGGCACAAGTCGCACGTGCCGTTGTTTTCATTGTAGCCATACCCAGCTAGGCAATTGCATCCTCCAGTGCTTTGATTGTTTTGGCAGTTACCGCATATAGCCTGGCACGACTGCTGAACACACGGCCCACCGGCATAGTTGGTTAGTGTCAGAGCTCTTTTGCTGATATGACCCTCGAAGCACTTGCAGCCATCTGTGCCGTTTCTTCTGGTAGAGTTTGCAGGACAAATGTCCAGACACCTTCCAAAGTCTTGATTCGTGAAGTTTGTGTTATTGATCCCGACGTACCCCACGTCGCATGTGCAATTCTTATATACCGTCAGGAAAGCCACACCCCGCAATAGCAGTGCGATCAGGGGAAGAACGACAAAGGGGCTCAGCGCGAGGAGTGGGAGGGCCACCACCGAGGTGGAGGCGATGCAAACAACCTCGATCTCCAGTTGCGCCTTGGCTTGCTCGAACGACTCGTGTTTTTTCCCCCGCTGCAGCTGCAGAGCCACCACCGCCACAAGGGCAAGGTAGGTGGGAAGGCGGAGCAGCGCAGCCTAGACGAGCCCTTCTGTCCTAGATCCCCAATCGGTGTTCCAGAGGTAGCCACCGAGGATGAAAAGAGCGACAGCGACCCCAATCTTGATATTGAGGTGGAGTGCAAGGGACACCCCGTGCAACCGCCTTCAATAGATAACTCGTTGATTTCAAACAGATTGTTGTTGTCTCCACCCACGTATGACCAAAACCACACGTATCTCCCCCTGTGTAGTGCACGGTGTCAGCATGAAAAGAAGTGTGGGTATGTATACTCACGTCAAGGGTTGTTTGCAGTATTGTTTTTTGTAGCAATAGTCACACCCGCAGCATTCCCCAGGCCAGTAGTTGCACTCGTCAGCTGAAGTGAAGGTAGTGGACGTGTTCGTCACGTACACGAACATGTCCCGGCAATAGTTTGTTGCATACGACGACCAAACCGTGATTGCATTCACTTCCTTTGGTTGAGTTAGATCGATCCGTACCCAGCGTACATAGCTTCCACAAGTCAGACCCCCCGGGATTGTGCATTCAAACGATTGGGTAGCAGGTGGATATGCGGCGCCTGGGCACAAGGTCGTTCTGGAACTGCTGGGACAGCCATCGATGAACCCCCACGGTCCTATTTTCCATGGACCGTTGTAGTGATTGAGAAATCCGATGCCTGCATGGGAGTGAGCGCAAATTCAAGTGCGGGTGAATCAAGGTCAGACCAGGAGTGTCTTCGAGCGTGAGCATGAAACCATTGGAAGAGTACGTGTTGTCCATACATAAAGAGGGTACAAAACCATACTGACACAGGGATGCATGGATGCATAACATAAAGAAAAATGTTTTAATGTTGGCGTGCCTATGCATGCATACCATTTGGACCATAATACAGCGCTGACCATGTTTCCACCCTTCTTCCCTTCCCTTCAGATTTGAGATTTTAATGCTCTTTGCCATGGCATCGAAAATGGCATCGCTGTGTATTTCAAGGCGCCTCGCATCCCCACAACTGGAGGGCTATAAAGCTCTACTAGATATGACTGAATAGAACTTCCTAGCGCTGATTGTGTCGCACTTTGAATTTTTGGGACTGTGTGGCCTTAGCGACAGAGAGCGACGACATCTTCACGAACCCCCCCGTGGCCGCTGCGATCCCGGTTGCCGCCACGCAGCCAGCTATGGTATGTACCCCCATCAGGAGGTGAATGTTTCTCTTGATGACCAAAATAGTCAACGACTACAAGGGATCATTCATGATGATACAAAGGTCTTTGCAGGAATTTGTACAGTTCAAAAAGTTTGGAAAGGGTTTAGGGTTTAGGGTTTAGGGTTTAGGGTTTAGGGTTTAGGGTTTAGGGTTTAGGGTTTAGGAGGCCGCCCCTTCCCGAGGCAGGCCGCCCCTTCCCGAGGCAGGCCGCCCCTTCCCGAGGCAAGGCCGCCCCTTCCCGAGGCAGGCCGCCCCTTCCCGAGGCATGCAGGCCGCCCCTTCCCGAGGCATGCAGGCCGCCCCTTCCTGAGGCATGCACATCCGCGGCGCGTAGGGGGAGCACAAGGGGACCGGAGGAAGCTGCGAGCAAGAGGTTTGTATCGTTCAAAAAGCTTTCTAAGCATGGTACTACAGTATGATGAGAGCGTTCGCAACCTGCTGTATCGGAGATCATGCCAATACACGCAGGGTGAGCGCTCTGGAGGCCACGTCGAGGAGGCCGCCGACCTCGTCGAGAAGGTGAAGAGCTTCACCAAGCGTTATCCGAATAGTCGGACAGCTTATGCTTGCAGAGCTGAGGGGGGATGCACTCCCGACGCTATCGCTGAAGCCATCCGCTCGACATGTCGGCAGGCGAGACGCGACCTGTTTGAAGACTCTCTGAGCGAATGGAGCTCAGAGTCGAGAGCATGGTTTATTCAACAGATGGAGGAGGCCAAGAAGCAGAATGTCGAGACATACATCGGCACCGAAGGCACCGAGGGGACGTCCTTCATCTCCATGACTCTCCTAGGGATTTCCTCGATGTTTGTTCGACAAGAAGAAAAGTTGAAAACGAAGCTTATGGAGCTGGATCTCATGGTAGACTCAGTCGATGGAGTCGACAAGGCCATCATGTGGAAAGCACCTTACAGACCTGAGATAGCACGAGCAGACGACATCTCAGTCACCGTCTCCTTCCTTCGGAATGAAGCAGCCATGGAGCTATGGGAAGGCAGGAGAGAATACACCATAGACGGCAGATCGTTTCGAGCCACAGAGGTCAGCATTGCACACGACCGGTCCTTCAAGCTTCGAGCCAAGCGAGGACCTTGGGGCAAGGGAGGGAGCCTTGCCGAGCTATCGCAGCTCCTAGCTCTCGGAGGAATGTCGACGGCCGAGATCGCTCAGATTTATCGATTTCAGCTGCTCTCGCAATCTCTTGCAGCCGCAGAGGTACAACCGCTTGCCGGCATGCTCGTCCAGGGTCCTGGGCAGAGAGGTCGCAAGGGGCCGAGCCCGAAGACGTATGTCGCTAGCAAAAAGAGCTGGAGTGGGTGCTGAGCTCGCCTTCGACGGCAAGTTGCGAGCAGACCTTGGCTTCGTTCAGAGAGAGCGAGGCGATGGAGGGGGTGCATCTCACTCTCATCAGCGACGACGCCAAGCTCAGAGAGACGTTTGCAGTCGAGCTCACAGCCGACACCTTCGTGCCGAGGGGAAAGATTGCCAAGCAGAGGAAGCTACTTCGCGAGAGAGATCATGCGGGGCGCAGCAGCTTTAGAGTACAGATCAAGTCGAGGTCAAGCATGAGCACAGGCCGCTTCTCGAGGAAGGAGATGGAAGCGCTGTGCGGAGGAGGTAACACATCGATCACGAGAGTCAAGCGAGCCATGTTGGAGTTAGCAAGAAGAACGAACCTCAAGCTGGTCAGCGTCGAGGTCGAGGAGGATCGTGACACGCTCAGCTGGGATGGGAGCCTGATAGCTCTCTCCCTGGCGACCAAGGCAGAGGCTCGACGCCTGATGGACGACATGCCCTTCTACTTGGAAGGGATCCTGGAAGTCAAGCTGGAAGCGGTGGGTTTTAAGCTCAGCTCTCAGCATGAGGAGGAGAGGAGCCCGAGCAGCGAGGAGCAAGTCCAAGAGCCCCAAGGGCAGCAGCAAGGCGCTGGATGGCTGGAGCTCAGCGACATCGACAGGATCACCATGGAAGCAGCGTCGCCGTCAGGGCCAGTCGATCAACAGGTCTTGCTCGACCTCTCGACGATGCTCTTGGAGACATCAGAGGAGGAGCTGCTAGCTGGCAAGCCGATCTCCCTGGAGCTAGACAAGAGTGTTGGCAAGCTGCATGACACCTTCTGCTCGCCGGGCAACGTGGAGTTCATGACGCTCGGAGCTTGGGCAGCCACGCCGACGCTGGGATCGAAGCGAAACATGTTGAAAGAAAAGCTCAGAGCGTACCTCGGCGAGCAGCGCTGGACACGGGTGCAAGGGAATAAGGCAGCGAGGAGGGGCAGCGCCTTCTCTCCAAGGGCAGCAGCGACTGATGCGCTCGAGCAGGAGGCTGAGAGCGATGACATCGAGAGTCGATCTGTAAGCCTCTTGTTTCTTGCGATCAGTAAATTTGCTGAGCACCATGGGTTGAGCTGCACGGGCAAGGTCGACAAGCAAGACCGACTGCGGCTGATGATGAGGGAGGAAGTCGACATGGAAGCTGAGGAGGGCGAGGGCGTGGAGGAGGAGGCCGGTGCAGGCCTCTCGCGCGCTTGAAGCTCGAGTCAAGGCTTAGAGGTGGACAAGAGGCGGAGCGGAGCTGTGGGCCCCAAGGGGGGAAGGAGGAAGAAATAAATGAGGTGGACATGGGGCAAGCAACGAAGGTAAGGGCAGGTAAGCCGGAGGGGGAGGGGAGAGGGGGGGGGCGGGGGGGAGGAGGCCGGGCGGAGGCCGGCCGGGCTCTCGGGCCCGGTCCGGACAGAGGCCCGGGGGGAAGGGACGTGAGTCCCAGGGACCCATCCACAACCCACCTGCCACCTCATTCATCACCCACTCACTGGCCGAAGGCCGGCCGAGACCGCCAAGGTGTGTCGGAGCCGAGGAAGCAACACAAGCAAAGCACGGACGACCCAGGCCAAGGCCGGCGGAGGAAACTCCACTGGCTGAGGCCGGGGAAGATCACTGAAGTATATCAGAGGAGGGAGCAGAGCAGAAGCACGGCTGCCATAAGGGCCAGCCAAGTCGGGCCGAACTGCCAGGTCACGAGATCCCTGTTAGACTAGAATAGAGCAAGGTGATAACAAGCCATGCAACCTACCTAGCATTCTAATAAACTCAACTACTACTACTACTACTAGGGTTTAGGGTTTAGGGTTTAGAAGGATCCCTTAACCCGCAAAGGAGGGATCGAGAAGCAACCCCTCGACGAAAGAAAAGGGTGGTCGAGATGGACAAGCTATCGGGAAGACTAGGCGTGGAATGGGCAATAGCACTTGATGAGAAGATAAAAGCGGCACAAGCTCTACATCAAGATTGCGACATTCTCGAATTGATAACAACAGCCCTCCCCATCAAGGAAATTCCTCTACGAGGCTCCAGCGGGAAAAGACATGCATCCAAGATCCAGATGGATCTGAAACGCAAAATCAAGCAACTTCTCAAGGATTTAAGAAACGCTTCAGAAATTCCAGACTTTATTGATCGCGCACACAAGGAGTCGAGCTTACATGCAGAAATAAGAGAGAATATGACCAAATTCAAGGAGATCTGCGCAGCACAAGACCAAGAGATATTCCTGAAAGCATGCGAAGAACGAAGAAGACGCTTGGGCACGATAGGGAGTAAAGAGTTTCAAAATGCAATGGGCAAGAAGTCAGACTTTAAGCCCAAAGCCCCAATGCTGAGTCAACTGCCAGAGAAGTGCCACCCAAACACAATCGAACTTACGTCATGGAGCGATCTCCAGCCAGCGCTGCAACAGCCGGAGACAGCATATCTTCAAGAACTGAACCCGTTAATCGAGACATTCCTCCAGAGCAACTCCAAAGAAGCAAGCAAAACTTTTTGGAGTGCAAGACATCAAACCATGCTGCACGTCGAGGTTCTCGGGACGAGGAACCCGGCAACACTGACACAAAAGCTGTTCATAACTCTGGCGCCTGCACACGCAATCGTACCCATCATCCGAGGACTGATCACACAGCCAGGAGGGTGGCGCCTGGAAGGATACAAAAACATCGAGCAACTTCTCCCCATGAGATTGGCAAGAGATCTAGAAGATGAAACCCACACGGCAACCTTCTTTGCAGTCAACGGATGTACCATGAACGGAACCTGTGCAAGAGCTGAATGTCAAACAAAAGGACGACTGATTCCGCTGTATGACAAAAGCCAGAAAAACGGAGAAGCATCAATCCTCTTCTTCTGCAAAAACTGTCAATCACTGACTTCCGTCAAACCACCGGACTTCGAACCCCCAGAGCAAATCAATCAACACCCGACCAGGGAGGAACGATCAGGCAGGGTCATCGTCTACTCAACATCATCGAGGAGGCTCAGAGTAATCAACACAACCTCATCCTGCTGTACCTCGACTTTGCAAACTTCTTTAACAATGTGGCAGTCGAATCCATTGCAAAAATCATGGAAGTATATGGCTTTCACCAGTGTGATGTAGACGTCGCAATCAGTTGTAGCCAAGGGATAGCGCTGCAAATTCAGACAGAGAGGTTCGAAACAGCAGCCATCCCACTTCTCAGAGGATTACCCCAAGGCAGCCCCGCAAGTCCGCCAAAAACAAATCTTCTGCTCAGCATCTTGTCCAGACAACTTGATCAACAACAAGACGAGATTGCAACTCAACACCCTAATAATCTGTCATTTGCAGACGACCTTGTCCTGATAGCACATTCAGTGAGAGAGATGAAAACGCTTGTTCAAGTGGTAGAACGATTCTGTCGATGGAGTGGATTAGAACTGAACACGAAGAAATCTGAAATCACCAGCTTTGATTATCGGCTAAAGAGGGAGATCCCAGGAACACAGACCATTAAGTTCTTCGACAAGGAGTTTGTGAACCTACCACCGACAAAATGGTTCAAATATCTAGGGATCCGGATCAGCTTGTGGAGACCAGGAGGAAGAGGCAACAAGGCGCACACCTGCCCCTTCACGTGGGGAGAGAAAGAACACATCTTGGAGAAGACAAAAGAACTGACAAAGCTGATTGAATCATCTGCTTACTCTGCAGCCCAAAAATATTACCTGGTGAAGGTAGGCATCGTCAATATCTTTAGATACTCGGCGGTACTGGTGAGCTGGTCTTGGTCAGACTTACAAACCTTAGATACCCTCTGGACCAGAGCATTCAAAAGAGCTATGGGATTGAGCAAGAGTACAAGCAACGCTATCTTTCACCTACCTTGGGACAGAGGAGGCCTCCAACTCCCCCATCCAGCACCCATCTTGGGAAGGGCGGCGATTCGGTATCTAGAGAAAGAAACAAATAAGAAATGCAGGGTGGATGATGATATCAAAAGCAGTCTGATCCACAAACTAACATCATGGTGCAACCAATGGGGGTGTCAAACAATAAACCAGCTACAACGAGAAATCAGATCGGGCAGACTCAAAGAGAACGAAGAGATAAGAGGACCGGAAAGACTCGCAATCTGGATAGCGGAAAAAATGCAGACCACCATCAGTTGGGAAATGATTGAAAGCAAGATGAAACCGGGGACAATAGCCATCTTACACGACCTGGAGGACAAGATGCTCTCAGAAGAAAACTCCCTGCTGTCCGGAGAAAACTCCCTACCTACATCTCCTGCTCGGCAAGGCTGGGAGAGTTTTGCAAAGGCATGGAGACTACTGCCCCAAGTAGGCTTCCACTCCATGACAAGTGTCTTACCCGTCCCAGATACCGAGGGCATCTCCCTGCACCTGCCCATCCGACTCTGGCCATTCCCAAAGCAAAGGGAACAAGCAGAAGAAATCCTTGCACAATATCTCATCTGGGCAAAACTCGGACTTGAGCAGGCAGGAACAGGGAAGAGAAGAAGGCCAGCCAGGGAGGAGGGGAAGCCCCCAAACAAGAGAAGGAAAGGAAAAAGGGAGGCTAGCCCACATGAACTTCAGCCACACAAGAAACTAGCCAGACCGGACCAAGGGAGAGAGGAAACGAATACGAAGGCTTGCACCCGGGTAATTTTGAGGCGGTGGCTCCAACATGACCCCACCTGTTATGATGAAGGAGGGAATCAGCAAGAAAGATTCAGCCACACTTCAAGCAACATACCTTTCAAAGTTCAAGGAAACATAGCCATCTTTGAGCGATCTCAAATTGAAGAAAGCAAGACCGTGGATCCACCAATAGAATGGTTGGAAGCGTCGCTGGACTCGGCTCCCTTCGCATCTGCAACAAGGGAAGAGGACGGTAATAACCGAAGAGACTGCAATCAAAGCATCCATCTGCTGCTGGAAATAGTTAATGCATTGGACGACGGCGAAACAGAAGCTACAGCATGGTGGCAACAACTCGAGGAGGTAGTATCAGAGGTTCGCCAAGAAACAACACAACCATTGGCATACGAGTTTTTACAACATTTAGCAGAGATTACAGAATGCGACATCAGTACATTTCGTAACTGGCCTACCCTACACACACATCCCCAGGCTCTGGGCAAAAAGAGAGCAAGGGAACTGCACAGAGTGGTGGTTTGGATGGACAAACAAAAGAGATTTCGCGAACAAATCCTGGATACAATACATGTCATTCTGATAGGATGGAAGAATAACATTGATGAGATACCAGAAGGCTTCGAAATTATCAGCCGGGTCCCGAAAGGCGCTCAAATAGCTTATGCAGCAAACTTCTGGCAAACAGGGAATAGGTGCTTGACGAAAACTGTAGAGGAGCTATGGATACTAGTTGGGCACACATTCCCAACGTACTTGCGGGACCAGCTTCATGACAACATCCTCCCAACGTATGAGGAGCTGTGTAACAGACGAAGGGATCAGATCCAGCCGCGCAGCGATCATCAAGGCGGAAGGCATTTCACAGCAGCTATTGAAGGAGACATCACGCAGGGCAGAAAAAACAGATCCATGCGAATAGGATATGTTCTCCAACAACAAGAGATGACGTCAGGAGGAGGGATGAAAATCAATGGGAAGTGCAGCATCATTCGAGCGAACACAATCGCATTGAATTGGCTTACTTCTGCAACATGTCCTTGAGGAAGGAATACAGATCAAAAGGGGAAATCAAGTCACAATAATGTACCAGTCCACACGTTTCCACCGCTTTATGACAAATACGTTGCAAATGGATACCATGCGATACGAAGACGAACTGCTGGAGGACCTACATGATCGGTTACTCACTTGCATGAAGAAACTCGAAGGGAGGGGAATCAGGATCCGACTCCAACTAGCAAAAGAATCTCAGAGACATATTCAAGAGGCAAAGGAAATGGCCAAGCAAGGAAAACAAGCATTTGCCTCGGGATGGGAGAAAGCAATCTACGATAGCCCAATGGAATTCATCATTGCAGGAGAAGAAAATCCTACATCAGGATTCGATCGCTTGAAGAAATGGGACTACATTATCAGACAACAGACAATGGTGGCAAGGATTCGAGCGGGAGACCTCACCTTGACAGAGAAATTCATGCTCGAAATGCATGTGGGAAGAGATTTACTAGGGAGAGCGTTCAGATTATGCGAAGGGTCAGTTACGCGAACAGCTATCCAAGCGATCACCTTCTCAGCAC